CACATCTTACACTGTAACCTAGGACAGGGCCAACGGGTGGGAGGATACAGGCAATGAAATATATCTCAGTGAAAAATGGCAGAGTTGTTCCAGTTGACCTTTTCCAACAGAAGGCATGGTGGGTGCTAGGGACCCCCCCCTCCAGGAATCCCCTACCTGCTCTCCATAGCCAATGCTCCACTCCTACAAGGTGACAGCACTAACTCATGGTCCATTTTGGGCTCCATCCCTGTGTCCCAGCTGGTGAAGACGGCAGAACTGGACCCTCGGCAGAACTACCTAATGGGATTTCATCCCCATGGAGTCCTGGCAGCAGGAGCCTTTCTCAATTTCTGCACAGAGGCGTCGGGCTTTTCCACTCTCTTCCCGGGCATCACCCCACACCTGATGATGCTCTCCCTGTGGTTTCGCATCCCGTTCTTCAGGGACTACTTGATGAGCGGAGGTAAGCAGGGCAGCAGCACGGGCCAACCCCTCTGGCAAGCAGTGGGATGGTTGGATGCTTTTTTGGGGAGCAGAGAGTGAAGACGTCAGGGGAAGAGGAGTCAAGGGTCTGTTTGGCCCCATCTGTGCCCAACCATGGACACAGCTACTGGAGCTGCCACCCAAAAACTCTCTGAAGTTAAAAATTGCCCTCCTAGCTGTTATCTCTGCTGTTCAGCTTCACAGATTGCCTCTGAGCTCAGGGCACCACTGTGTAACAGCGAAATGCAGAGCAAATCGTGAGCAGAAATGCCGAGCCCAGCAGGGCAGGGTGGTCCCGTATTTATTTCTTTCTCTGCAAATAACATTCAGGCTTGAAATCGGGGTTGCCACTGAAAGAAGGGGAAAACCTGTTTTTCCAAAGCCGCTGCTGCTTGCAGGGAAGCAGCATCCAGGGAGAGAGGATGCACGGAGCATCTCCTCCCGGTGCAAAGCCCTGTGGCGGGAGAGGAAGAAGAAATGAAAAGGAATCAGTAAAATTAAATGGAGAGAAGGGAAAGGGAGTTTCGAGAGGGTTTTGGAGGCCGGCAGGAGATGACCTCCATCTCTCACTGGTGGGCCTGGGGGATGGCCACTTCTCCAGCCACACGGGCTCCTGTCGTGGGCAGGATCCAACAGACTAAACACAGGCATCCAGCTCTGTCTGAGACACCCCAGGACATTCATCACCCTGTTTTCCACATAAACCATGGCTCCTGCTGCTGAAAAAATATTTACACAGAGAGGGGGGAATCATAACAGTGAGATAGGAGAGAGTTATGGCTCAGGCGAAAGACGGTTTAATCACTGTTAGCGTGGGAGTGCTGTGCACAGCTCGTTTTCAGGTCGATCACATCCATTTGACAAAGAGGTTTTCACTCACAAATTATTTCACCCCTTGAAATAAGGGATTTTTTTTAAAAAAAGTCAAAACACTGTTGCTTTGTCATTTCTGAATTAAAGACTTCTAACTTTTGCAAGTAAATAATATCAAGGGACCAAATTCGGCATTAAATTCCACTTTAAATCAGCAGCAGCCACTGAACTTTACGTGTGTTGTGCCCTAAAGCAAACGTTTCCTTGACTTCAGAACGATTCAGATTGGACATGGTTTCACTTGACAACAAAACAAAAGAGATTTTCCCTGGGGCTTAAGCGCAGCTCGCGCTCAGTTTAAATTTTTCCTGATTTTTTTCCCTGTTTCTCACTTCTGGGCCAGGGATAATTGCAAAGGGATAATTGCACATTCACATGGCAGAGCCGGGCACCTTTCAGGGGAGCTGGGCTGAGACTGACAAAGCATAGGGAAACTCTGAAAATGAAGTGTTGAGCAGCCCCCCGGAGCTGGGTAGTGGGGAAAGAAGGTACAGAGCAAACCACAGTCGTGTGGGTTTTACAGATTTACATTTACAGATCTACATTTTTTCTTCCTCTCTTCCCCCCAGGCCTTGTCCCCTCCGACAAGGAGAGCGCATCCCATGTGCTGCAGAAGCCAGAGGGTGGGAATGCGCTGGTCATCATCGTCGGTGGGGCGCAGGAGGCCCTGGATGCCCGGCCAGGATCCTACACCTTGCTGCTGAGGAACAGGAAGGGATTTGTCCGCCTGGCCATCGAGCACGGGTGATGCAGGGGATGGGGGCATGGGGAGGGACGCTCCGGTCTGCGGCTGGTTAATGAAGCTGGTTTTGGCGAGAGGGGGAAGGTGGTTCGGGGTGTGCTTTGCATGAAGATTACCTCACGCCCCTACATCGGGTTCGGCTCCCCGCAGCACCCCGCTGGTCCCCATCTTTTCCTTCGGGGAGAACGACCTCTTCGAGCAGGTGAGAAACCCCAAGGGCTCCTGGCTGCGGCAGCTCCAGCACCGGCTCCAGCAGATCATGGGCATCTCCCTTCCCCTCTTCCACGCGCGAGGCATCTTCCAGTACAGCTTCGGGCTGGTACCCTACCGGCGGCCCATCTGCACCGTGGGTAAGTCCTTCCTCAGCACGCAGGCACGATGCCGGCCATGCCCAGCCTGGTGGGGCGGGGGGACACCAGGGACAGTCCCTGGGTTGTGTCAGGCCGGAGCATCACGCCAGAGAGGAGGACCTGCGATGGGCTAGAAATGGGCTGGCAAAGCGGTGTCCCCAACTTCTCACGTGTCGCACTGGTTTGGGACCCTGGCTTGGTCTTCTGGCAGAGCCCAGGTCATCTGGGCGGCGCTGGGAAAGCCCCAGAGCACCCACAGCCACCCCGTCACCCCTGTGGGATGCAGCCAGCCCCACCCCCGGTGCAGCCCGGTGATGCGAATCTCTGCGATAGCGTTGGGTTAAACTTCTTCCCAGCCCGTTGTACAACAACAAGTAGGACAACCCCGCAGCGGTCTGCAGGTTTGCTCAGTGTCCCGTGCAAACCCCAACAGCCACAAACCCCAACCTATCTGAACATGAACAGGGCAAGCCATTTTGACCAGAGACCATGCCCATGGGAGACCGAATTTCAAGAAAGTCTTTGCTTTTGAAGAAGTTTTGCCTGATTTCAACAACTCTGTGCTCGGCCGACCAGCGCAGCTGATGCTCTGCGACTTAAACGAACTAAAGAGGCTGTTGGGGAAGGTCAGAGCTCACCCTGCTGATTAGGTTTGACAGCCAACAATTACTTCTAATTGTTTTACAACCTGTTTGGATTGTCTCAATGGTTTTATGGGCTGTGCAGTATCACAAGGGCTCTTCATTAGTCTGATGAGGAGCAGCATTACACGATGACGAAACCCTCTGTCACTTGACAAACACAATTTGAGTATGAGACCAGAGTAAGAGATGTAGCTCATGAACTTCCCTGTCCCCTGCAGACAGCTGGTCCTGCTGCTGGTGGCTCTGGCAGGTGGGAAGAGGTTTCTTCTAGTGCTAGGAATCAAATTATTTTGATTCACCCTTGAAAAAAGTATGGTTTTCTAAAGATAAAGGGGTACTTTGTTCCTAATATAAAATCAGATGTTTCACAGTAGCTTTAATCTGAGCAAAGTGGAAGCACCTCAATCACTAGTGTTTTTAGATGGTCTTGGGCTCCCCAGCACCCCAATCACTAGTGTATTTAGATAGTCTTGGGCTTCCCACTGCCTCAGTTTCCCCAGTTGCAATGCAGATCCCAAGGCCATGTGGGAACAGCTTGGAAAGCCCAACCCAAACATTAGGATGACGTTGCCTTTGCCCACAGCACACATGAGATGGCAGGAGCAGCTGTAGGGACTGCGTTGGGATGCACAGAGGCAGAGCTACACAGAGGGTCTTTGGCATTAACCAGCTTTGCAGGTGGGGAAACTGAGGCAAGGACAGATGTGACCTTAGAGACTGACAGCAGAACCAGGATCTGAAGCTCCATCTCCCTACCCCCCTGGTTGTGCTGCCTCCCAAACTCCAGGACTTGACTGGTCATATTGATCCGTCCACTGCATCCTTGGCGAGGTGGACCTCCGCTCTGTGCTAAGGCGTGCGCAGTGTCCAGAGGGACCTGACACTGGCTCCTGTGCTTGTTTTCCAGTTGGGAAGCCGATTCCAGTGCAGAGGAAGCACAGACCCTCCGAGGAAGAGGTTGATCAAGTCCATCAGAAATACCTAAAGGAATTGTGCAAGCTCTTTGAGGAGCACAAAGCTAAATATAACATCCCAGAAGACAGACACCTGGAATTTATATAGAGCTCCTCAAGCGAGGTGAAACCCTGGAGGCCAAGCTCCGAGTTTTCCCCTGTCTCTGGAACTATTTCACAACCTCAACTTAATCGCAGTTAACATACGGTGCATTCAGTGCACAGAGGACTCAATTTTCCTGGCATTTGCACGGGTGTAGGGCCAGCGTTTTCATTTTTTTCTCCCTGTAGGACACATAAAAGATACAAAGAAGAAGGAAAAAAAAAAAAATCCCATCTGTGGTCAGCACTGTTGAAACTCCCCAGCAGAAAACTCACACTTCCAGTCTGGCCTGGAGGCCAGTTTTTCAAGCTATTTCCAGGCAGATATGAATTATTGAAAGTTGCCTTTGCATTATTTTCATTCAGAAATGGGATGATAAGCCATAATTTCTGCTGAATGTGTGTGGTTTTTAAAATACAATTTGCCTAGATCAACAAATGATCACTGCTCACTGGGTGCTCTTCATGTCTCTAATTGCTCTGGGCTCTTTTCTCGCCACCTGAAACACAGTTTATCAGAGAGCTCATACTCCCAGCATGGTGCTGGGCACCCTTGGCAGTAACAAAATGCCGTACCCCACCGGAGCAAATGAAATAAAACACGTATAAAGGGCAAGGGCTCATCCAGAGGGTTCTGCCCTACCTGGGCTCCAGGTGTCCTGCTTATAACTCCATTAATCTAACCCCAGACACAGCTACATGGGAACACCTTGGACGAGTCACAGCTATGGCAGCACTGTCACTGTGCCACTGTGCCAAACGAGGCCATTTCCCAAGGAGAGAGCACGTCCAGGAGATGGGAGAAGGGAGAAGTGATTTGGGACAGGAAATATGGCTCATAAAGCCACGTTTGGCAGCTGATCAAGGCTTTAAATAGCTGCTGCTTCTTGATATCCAGCACTTTATTAAACTCTGCACTTAATGGGATTTCACAGCGTGTAAGGTTTAGGTGGCAGGAAGCCATCTGCTCAGATCAGCTTTACATTGCCCCTGTAGATCCCTTATACCATCACCTTCTCTCTCTCCTTTCATTTCTCTTACTCTTCCCCCCATCCCATTCCCCATATGCAAGGAGCCACCAAAATCCCCGCAGAGCACGTGCTCTTTATTGCACCCAGGATCTTGGTTACTGCGGCTGCAAGAGTTGCATTTAACAAGGAAAACACACAGAACTGTTTCTCAACTGACATTACCAGGGCCATCTTTGTATTTGGTTTTCTTTTCCCTTTCCTCCCGCCCCCATCAAATTACTCCACCAGATCCTTAATCTGAATGACCCGCTGCGAATCCATCCTATTCCCAGGAAACAAGCAGCAACAGGGAAGAATTTGATGGAGCTCTTATCAACAGCTCCAAACACTCCAATAATCCCACACTTAATCCAGTCAAATAAAGCAGGTCACCTGCTATGATTTCTTGCCTGCTTTCTATTCATAGACTTTTTCTTTTGTCCTTAATTAATGGCAGAGGTGCCTAATTGGGAAGAAGATTTATACACCAGGAAAATAAAAACAATTCTCTCCCACCCTTTTCATTTGGTGTTCGTTGCCATCCAAGCTTTAACCCAATGCCAGTGGGTTTTTCCTATCCCTTCCTCTGCCTTCCCTGCTGTTGGCCATGCCACCCGCAGATCCCAGGAACATCGTCACGACCTTCTGCAAACATCTCGATGGGGATCAGTGCTGGAGGGGAGCGATGGGGATGTCCCCGGGGACACAGCACAGGGTGTGATGGGGATGGGGGAGGTCTCCAGGGGCGAGGACAAGGAGCTGAGATCTTGATGCAGTGGGAAAAGGAGCAAAGGTGCTGCTGTTGGGGTGGAAACCAGCGGTGTGCAAGGGAGGGGGTTTGGGGAGATGCTGGATGAGTGGTTGGACGCGGTGATATTGTGGGGATGTAGGAAACAGGGAGGGAGCAGGATGCAAGGTCCTGTCCGTGGCATGGACGGGGATGGAAAGCGTGGGTACAGGCAAGAAGGGTTGGGTCTGTAGGAGTGACGTGGCTCTGCACCAACCTGACGGAGAAGCTGCATGAGAAATTGTGCTCCCCAATTGTCCATGGAGGCCTCGGTCTTCCCCTTTGGGGACCTGGCATGGTGATGCCTCCGATGCCAGAGACGCACCTGCTTGGGAGGTGGGTTGGTTCATCACCTCCTGCCTGACCAGTGATGCCATTCTGGAAGAGGGAAAAGGCAGAAAACGGGTGATCAGGGAAAAAAATCCCACGGAGGAGCTAGGAGGATGATGCTGGAGCTGCCTGAAGGCTGATGGAGCAGTCGGGGACACACAAAACCCAATGGCAGAGCGCGGTGCTGGAGCAGAGGGGTCAGAGGAGTGCGCTGGCTATATATACCTGCCTTCCCTCAGGGTCGGTTTTATCTCACAGACTGGGACATGTCCTCGATCCCTCAGAGACCGATAAAACCCAGGAGAAGTCAGTGCCTGGGCTTGTGTTACATATAACGGTAAGAACAATAATTCATTGGCGTCCTTGTAGCTGGGGCTACTCGGGGGGCTCAGCACGATGGAAGTTCTCACCTTCTCGAGAGGCCAGAGCAAAACGCCGTAAGACAAGAAGCTTTTGTGCTATTTCAGCCTTGCGCAGAGCTGTCTGGAGGATTAAAACTCCTCCAGTGCAACACGAGGCAGGGGAAACCTTAAGAAAAGAGGAGTGCCTGGATCAGCCAGGCAAACCAGACTGCGTTTGGGTTCGGACTCCGCAGCTCGGAACTGGCTCAGCTGGGGGCACAAGTGCTAGGACTGAGGGACATCCAAGCTGCCACCTCAAAATAAGACCATTTAAAGCTAAAACAACACAGTATATTTCCTTCCAGCACGTCTGCTCCCTATTTCCACAACTGTCTTTGATTTGAGAAACAAGCCCAAAGAGAAGAGACAAATTCATTGCCTGTCTTGCAGAAATTTCAAATTTCAGCTCATTTGGGACTTCTATGGAAATTCCCAATTGGAAAATATGGTTAAAAAATAAATAAAGTGTAGTGATCCAGTATTCTCCTCCTGCCTGTCTCTTCCTCTGACAGCTTCCCTCATGATCTCTCCAGTATTTCTGCTGCAAGAGGCTCTAATCTGGATTTGCCTTACTTAGCAAGTTCAGATCATGAGGCTCAGAAGAAAACCCCCGACGACTGATGGATACAAAATACAGACTAATTCTGCAAGAGGAGGAAAGCCAAGCAAAATGCTTTTTTTTGCCCTTCTGGAGCTCTACTCCCACAAAATCATTTTACTGCCCTGGGAATGGAGTTAAAAGGTTGCTTGCCTTTGCAGCAAACTACAAAAACGTCTGGTTTTCTGCTCAGGGAAAGATTCCCTCCTTCTAATTCAATAAAGACTCAAAATGTGGTATGTCAAACATGCCCCCTCCACACCGCAGAGCCTTTTCCTCTTCAAGAAAGGAAATAAAATTGCAAACTCATCTGAAACCCATCACTTTCCTTTCAAAACCATTCAAAGCATTCAAAAATCGACCAAAGCCACAGGTGTCCCTAGGAACGTGGACACTTTTTTGAGGGGTGATCTTCTAGTTCTGTCTGGTTTGAACCCAGTGAGCTGCTTTTCTGCATCTCCCATCACCTGGGCTCACCTCTTGACACAGCCTTTCTGGGAGGAACTATCTGATACGGGATTTCGGCAGACCGCCTTGTTCGGGTATAAAAGCCCACCAGTGGAGAAATAACCTGCAATGACCAACGTGCTGCACGAGGCAGGAGGGTTTATGTTTGATTTAAAGAAATACCGGGTATTGTTGGTGGATTTTTCGAGCTTTTGCCTACTCTTACTCCTGCCCATGTCCCGTCCCCAGCCTGCTCAGAGCTGCTAAGCCATTAACTCTGTGCTAGCAACCAGCTAAGCCACCACATCTCTGGGGCATGGGGGTCTCGTGTGCTTCAGGCAGCATGAGGCCTTCAAAATGCAGCATGCACTTGTCAGGAGGGGAAATGTCTCTAAAATCAGGTAGTCACAAGCCAGCATTTTGGATGCTGGGGTACAAAATAATGCCTGTGAGCTAAACAGATTCACTAGTTCGTACGAGGCCAACAAAAATCAGCCCAAACATGTTCGATGAGCAACTCAAGACACACTGAAAACTACATGCAGAAAGCACCACAGAGCTGATCTGAAATCACCCAGATTTGTGAAATGCTTGCGGAAAATGCATGCGCAGAAAGCTGTGAACTGTGCATGGACAGAAAATGCATGAGCAGGGAAAAAAAAAAAAAAAAGGCACAGAAAAAACCACGCAACCCCATCAGCGAGGCCAGCGCTTGGTTGCCTATTGCAAACAAATGATTCATGGCCAAGGGTATGTGTGGATGGCAGAGGAATTCACCTCCACATCACAGAGTACTTTGAACCGGGAGAACAACTCCGCAGTGCCAAGGGCATGTAAACAACGCCGTAGGATCCTTCCACCGAGGAGATACCGTCAGGTCGGGATTTTCGGAAGTGTTTACCAAGTGCTTAGCTTCTACCTTCTGAAAAGGAGATCCTTTAAGCTGCTGCACGGCGGGATCTCCTAGCGAGGCTAAGCATCTCATTTTATTAACCAGCAACCCCAAATCTTGACTTGAGAGGTGCGGTAGCACTATGCGCTCACTTGCTGGAGTCACAGCGTGTCCCCCAGGTGAGGGAATGAGCTGGGTTACAGGTTTTTCCATGCTGTACTTTACAGCAGTCCCGTGACATCACCTACAGATCCCAGGGTGTGCCTTGCTTCCAAGAACTGCCACGCACTCAACAAGTAAATACAATCCATAACCCCTGGAGAGCTGGAGCAGGAGCTCCTTTACCCCTCGTTTGATGCTGGGCTGCTGTCAACGTGAGACTGCCAGTGCCACAAGGCCAGAGAGCGAGAATAAGCACGACCCTGTGGCTCAGATCCCTGGAGCATCTAGACCCAACTGATCCGCTGCAGGTGGCAGAAAGTCTATAGCAAAGCTGAGGCCCGAATCCCCCATCCCACATCCTGGGGTCCTGACCGTGGCGC